CCCTTTCTACTTGGCCAACTTGCAAAACGAACCAATACTCGGGCTTTATCTGTCTCTGGTCCGCCAAACGTGCTGCTCGGATGCATGCAGGAGTTGCACGTACTCACTCGTACGGAGCATCCATACTCTCGTATGTACAGAGTTGCAAGGATCAGAAGTAGGTCCACACTCGTACCAGTATGCCCCTACCATTTCTCGCGTGCTGTCTCACTCTGTGTTCAAGATCCTGTCTCGGCTCGTCAGCACCGCATGGGATGATCTGGGAACTGATGAGAGCAGCCATAGCGCTATAATAGTCCGCGCTACAAGTGCCAAACAGCATTATTATCTACTCAAGGACCAACACCAACGGCCCGTCCCTCATCCCGTCATCCCATCCCGTCACATGTCGACCTCGCACGCGTCGGATAAGGGCGTCACACTCCCTCGACTCTCATGCGTCCTGCCCCGTCCCCATATGGCATACGGCCACGAGCACAGCCCAGATAAGCGAGACGCATAATACGAGCGAGGCCGATCGAGAGAGAGAGAGAGAGAGTCGAGAAAGAGAAGAAAAAGATTGTGTGCGCCACTTGGACCCGGTCCATTTCCCCGGAGAGATAGAGTGGCGCAGGTGGCGCATAAATTGGGACTGAGCTGTGGCTGAGCACCTGTATACTCTCCCAAGTTCTTCGTAAAGCCGCGTTGAAACCAGCTCCAACGTCATCGCTACACCCTCAAACCACGCACGACAACGACGAGCCCGACCGATCCTCGGCGCTGACCCCCTCCCTGACACCGCAATATACTCTGTATGGATTCACGCCAAGGCCACGGGGCTCGTCGGTGTGCCCTCCCTTCTCGCGTCTGAGCAGCAAGGCGAGGAATGGGGTCCAGGTCGCCCACCAGGTTCCTCAACAGCGTGACCCGGCCCGTTGCTGTGCTCGACTTCAAGGAGTCCCTGGACGCGATATGCCGTCCCCAATTCCCGGCCGCCAGCTGGGCCCAGCGCCGGGTGCCCGTCCTGGCCATCAGCGGCGGCGTCGACTCCATGGCCCTGGCCTTTCTCTTCTCCGAGCTCCAAAAGACCTTTCCCGGTCTGCAGCTGGGCAGCTACCCCACGCACCCCGCCTGCGCCGTCACCGTCGACCACAGCCTCCGACCCGAGAGCGCGGACGAGGCAAGAGAGGTGGCGCGCACCGTGCGGGGGATGGGCAGCATCAAGTCCATGGTGCGTGCCATCCGGTGGAGGGATCTTCGGAGGCGAGGGATCGACCCGGCCACTCTGCCCAACATCGAGAGCCTGTCGCGCCGTCTGCGCTACCGGTGGCTGGGCCTGACGTGCCGGGCGCTCAAGAGCCCGTTCCTATTCACCGCGCACCACGAGGACGACCAGTACGAGACGCTGCTGATGCGCCTGCTCGCAGGTCACGGCTACCGCGGTCTCCAGGGCATCCGCTCCGCAAACGACATGCCCGAGACGGACGGTATCTACGGCGTCCATAAGAGCGGCCTGCTGGTCGACCAGAAGAGTCCGCAGCCGCTGGTCAACTTCCGTCCCACGGTGCGCGAGACCAAGAAGCTCCGCCACATCTTCACGGACGACAAGGACGCCGGCGGCGGCGACGTCATGCTCGACTGGGACTCCCTGGACGGCATCCACTTCCACCCGCAGACCCCCCCCGCCAACGAGCCGCTGCTGCCCTACCTCACGCCCCTGAGCACCGAGGATGGTGGCGTCCAAGTCTACCGGCCGCTCCTGGGCTTCGGCAAGGACCGCCTGCGCGCCACCTGCGAGGCCAACGGCATCCCATGGTTCGAGGACAGCACCAATCAGGACGAGACCATGACGCGCAGGAACGCCGTCCGCCACCTGGTCGGGAACTACACCCTGCCCCGGGCCCTGCAGAAGCCCGCCGTCCTCGCCATGTGCCATCGGTCCCAGAGGCGTCGGCGTCTCGAGGAAGCCGAGGCCCGGCGTCTGCTGGTGCGTGCCGCCGTGGCCAGGGACTTTGACTCGTGCGCCGGCACCCTCATCATCGACCCCCCGACACTCGGCGCCCGAGACATCGGCAGCGGCAGACCCAGGCGGCTGCACGACGATGCGCGGAGGGAAGCACGCAGGCCGCACCAGCGGCTCATCGCCGCCCTGGCAACCCGCCACCTCATGAGCTTCGTCACCCCCGAGAAGAGTCTACCGGCCCCATCGACGGTAGGCACCGTGGTAGACCGTCTATTTCCGGACCTAGCCCCCGAACCGCCAACAGGCGCCCCGGCCGCCTTCTCCTTCTCAGGCGTGCTCTTCGACCCCATCGTCAGACCAGGCACGCCGACGAAATGGCTCCTATCCCGCGCACCCTACAGGTCCAGCCTCCCAGCGCCGGACTTCTCCGTCGACTGGCGGGACTGCAGCACCCCGCCGCCCACGGACGAGGAATCGACGTCGGGCCTCCTGGACACGTGGGCCGAGAAGTCCCACGGCTGGCGCCGCCTGGTCCACCCCAAGATGTGGGACGGCCGGTACTGGATCTCCCTCGCCAGCTGCGTATCCGAGCGCTTCCATGTGCGCCCCTACCGGGCCGACCGCGCGCGCGAGTTCCGCGCCTCCCTGCCGCCCAAGACGCGCGCCCGCCTGGAGGACCTGCTGAAGCACTACGCCCCCGGCAAGGTGCGCACCACGCTGCCGGCGCTGTACAGGGCCGACACCGGGTCGGGCGACGAGAGGGAGAGGGTGAGGGATGAGCACCTCGAGATGCTGGCCCTGCCGTCGCTGGGCATACGGCTCGACGGACTGGACCGATGGGTCAAGTACGAGATCAGCTACAAGAAGGTCGATGCTACGCTGCTGGGCGGTGGCAGGGGCACGTCTTCGCGTGGTCCGCTTGTCGGATACCGGGGGACTGTGGGACTGTCCAGGCGGAGGAGGTTGCAGAGGATGCGGCATCCTTGAACTCTTCATCTTCTCTCCTTCTTCTGAATTTGTCTCATCATCATCCTTTTTTCTTTCAGATGATGTGATGTGGAAGATGAAGAGAGACGGACTTGGAATATGGCAGATGTAAAAACAAGAAGGAATAAGCCAGAATATGAAAGATGCAAAGAAAACAAGGAATACTAACAAGATGGAAAACGAAAAACCAAGGAGAGACCAAGAATATAGAGGATATGTGAGAGGAGAAAAAAAGTATATCCAAAAACAGTATATCAAGGAAATGTCGATAGCCTGGGACAACAGGGTCAAGTATTCCAGCCAGCATTAGATAGATGGACATCACCCTTCATCTGCCTGTTGCGTTGTCCCATTTTTGGTGCCCAAAAGAAATATCTGATACCACTCAACAAAGCACACCCACCACAAGTCGTATATAATATATATATATATATATATATATATATATATATATGTCTTTATACTATGTTTTCTTTATTCCGTTATATGCGTAAATGATCCTAAATTCAATAGTCTGACATGGTGGTCCCCTCGACAACTTACAAGCACGTATAGACTCAATGACGGCGACGATGGAACTGGTATTCAGCCACCCTCCTCCCATCACCCACCCCCCGACGGCGACTCTCGATCACCAACACGCCGGCCTCGGAGCGGGCCCCTCGACGGTGCCTTTCCGGGGGCAGCGTGAAGGTGATGCCCCTCGGCAGAGGCACCTCGTTGTACGACCTGGCGGCGTCGAGGACGTCCCTGCCGACCATGTGATGCCGGACGGCGTGCTCGACGAAGTGGAAGTCGGGCCTGATGACGAGCTCTCTTTGCCCGGGATCGAGCAGGTGAGTGGCCAGGTGACGCAGACGCCGGACGAAGTGAGCGGCGGGATGGTCCCCGTCGGCGCGGTCGCGGGGGAACTGCTCCCAGCAGAACCAGCAGACGCCGTTGTCCGGATACGTGCCGCCCATGTGCGACAGGACGTGGTCTATCCACTCCTCCTGCTCGTGGGCACGGAAGCGGGCGTCGCAGGCGCCTATGCTGACGAGGTCGCACAGTAGCGGAGCGGGTGCCTCGACAGAGGAGGCTGACGCCGACCCGACTGCCCGGAATATCGAATGCATAACAGCCCTTGTCAGCCTTTTTCCGGGAAAGGGAGGGGGCAGAGGGAAAGGGTATGTGTATGTTACCGTCGGGGACGGATTGCCCGTTTGCACTGGTTGCGTCATCGGCGTGGCTGTCTGTGGTGACGGTCGCGCTATCATCTTCTTGACCATGGGCAGGGCCCGCGCGGCGACAAGCTTCGAGGTATGCTCTGCTACGGCGCCTCGAGCCTTCAACCTCTGTGAGGAACTTGTATATGTCGGCCTCTTCCATGACGCTGCAGAATGTTGTAGGGTGGCGAGGTTGGGCAAGAGGCCGGAAAAGAAAATATGTATATGCCTGATGAAGGTGAATGGAGGAGATGGGAGATGGATGGCGGGAAGCACGGAAGCGTCCATGGTTTGCAAGAGAAAAGAAAAGGTAAGAGAGGGAAGAGAAGAAGGAAAGGAAAGAAAAAAGGTAAACCAGATGTCGTCTACTTTTATAAGGCTGGACAGCCAACAGAAAAACAATGAACAGTGAACAGCAGTGAATCTTATCAGTGATTCCCCCCCTCTTTTCCTCAGCCTTCTGAGATATTACCTTAACGATGGGAGGAAGAGGGACGTTCAAGAAGATGGTATATTCTGTCATGCATGGCCAGCTGATATACCAGAGAGGGGAAAAAAAAGGTCAACCAGTCATCGCACTCTCCATATGTTGTATAACACATATATTCCAAGGGGGAAACCTCCGAGAAGTAGAGATACTTGAGAGAAATGACACCCTATACGACCAACAGAGTGAGAGAGGGAGAGGGAAAGACACGACGCCTACGCTGCATTCGGACCCAAAGGAAGAGATGGAGAGAGGCAGATACGTCGGGACATGGATGGATCGATCCATCCACGGTAGGGAGAGTGGAGAGTGGAGGGTGGAGGGTGGAAGGGGGAGGAGAGTGCTCGTCTCTACGCTGTATAATATGTATGTATATGATACATGTGGAATGAGAGACGAACCGTACTGCGTCATGAAGGGTCCTGAGGAGGAGGGGGGTGGGGGGAGATGATTATTCTCACGCAACCGCACGAGTGAGAGGCAGGGATGAGTGGAGAGAATAGGGTGTAAAGAGTTGGCAGGGGAGGAAGGAGAATCAATCATCGGATTTACATAACACTCTAGCCTTGCAAATCACATTGCGAAAGTGTAGATGCCCACCAGTCTCGTCGCCATACTTGATGATGCCCGGGAACGCCACGCAGCGAACCTCTCTCCCGACCAGGGCATCGTCGGCCTCGTCCTCCTCACCCCCGCCGCCAATGTCCTCCATCGTGTCCGTGTCGAAGGGGATGCGCTGGTGAGGGAGCACAGGCGGGAAGTACACGCGCAGCACGGCCTTCTGCACCGCCAGTAGACGGGCCAGGTCGATGGCAGTGCTGACCAGCGCGCGTAGGCTAGAGTCGCGCGGAGTCTCTGGGCTCGTCGTGGTGGTCGCGGTCGTGATACTGCTGCTGCTGCTGCTGTTGGCAGTGGTGATGGAGTCCATGATGCGGTTTATGCGCGACGCGACCTTCTCTGCAAAAGCCGCCGTCTCGTCTGACAGACGCTGTGGTGCCTCGCGGCGGATCAGGGCCAAGGTTGACGACCGCCACTGGTTGACGGGTTCTTGGTCGCCAGCTTTTTTATGATGGAGGTTTTCCATAACCCGTAGGTTAGCATACATGCACGTCGTCGAGCTGTCAAGAGAAGACGGTGGAAATAAAGATGGAAAGAAAGTGAGGGGAAGGAAAAGGGTGCAGAGTGACCGAGGCCACGTACCAAAGGATAGTAGCAGCTTCTCCATGTCGTTGAACTGAGCCGTCTGGTCATCCGACAGTCCGACGTAGTACGCGTTGAACACCATGTCCACCAGTATCCTCGACGCCACCGACTGCAGCAGGTGCACCTTTGACGGCGCCTGGCCGCCGGCCCCCCGCTCCTGTAGGAACAGTGTGGGTGCCAGGTCGAGCAGCTCGGCGTCGTCGACGTCGTTCCCCGCCGTCTTGGTGGACAGCCTCGCCCTGCGGAAGTTGGTGATGACCCAGTTCTGCAGCCCGTTGGCCAGCCTGGCCATGCCGCGCACCACGTCCTCGTCCGTGGCCTGCCCGTGCGTCCTGGTGCTCGTGCTGACGAACTCCTTGAGCCCGCGCACCTGGGACCGGAGGCGCCGCGCCTCGTCGTCGCGCTCCTGCAGCTGCCGCCGCAGCACGTCCCACCCGCGCCGCAGCTCGTCCCGCTCGGCCGCGCGTGTCTCGACCTCCGACCGGAGTAGCCGTACCTCCGTGTCCGCCCGGAGGAACTGCTGGTGGAGCGCGCTGTGCTTAGCCTGCCAGAACGCCGCCGTCTCGCTCTCGCTCTGGCTCAGCCTGTCGAGCCGCTGGTTGAAATCGCGCTCCATGGCTGCCATCTCCCGCTTCAGCTCGGCTATCTTGTCCATGTCGCCCTGCTGCTGCTGCTGCTGCTGCTTGTCATCGTTGGACGAGGAGGAGGGGGACGATGACGGTTTCTGCCTAGGGGTGGGTCGCGTTCGGCTGCCGCCGCCACGGGATCGGTCCCTCTGCTGCTGCTTCTGGGAATCCCTGGATCGCGTGTGGTTGCTGCTGGTGCCGAGGGCGTCCTCCCTTTCGGCCGGGAGGGTTACGCCGCCGTCGGGAGGGCCAGACTGATCTTCGGGGGTGGCGCTGCTGACGGCGGCGCGGGGCGGCAGGGTGGGAAGCCTGCCTGCTGCTTCCCCCTCTTTATTCTGCTGATCCCGATCCTTGTTGGCCCTGATGCTGTCTCGCCTTTTGCTGCTGGTAGCCGTGCTGGCGTTGCTTTGTTTGGTGGTGGTGGTGGTGGTGTGGGGTTGCGATGATGACGTTCGTCCGCCGCCGCCGCCGCCGCCGCCGCCGCCGCCCCGCCGCTTCTCGGATGGATTCATCGGGGGCGCGATATTTTGTTGTTCCGGATGGGGCATTTGTGGTTGGACGCAGTCTCTTGTCTATGTCGTTGGCAGCGGATACCTGCAGGCATGTTTGCAGCATTTAGAGCATGCCATGCGACGCGCGTGGTGGAGACCTCTCTTTCTCTCTCTCTGTAAACTCTGGTGCGTGGCCCCCTGTCTTGGTCGTGCTCGAGTTTCTGTCAACCGCTGATCGCAGTGTCTGGTGATGTTGAGCTACTCGAGCTGATGTACCGGCATGTCTTTTCTGATAACAGCGAGTTGTGTGAGGGGGCGGAGGAAAGATGACGATTGAGGGGCCGGCGATGGGGCTGCTGCCTGGGAGGTGGTGACGGCGGCGTTGTAGTATCAGAGCTTGTGGAGCTTCAGTATCTTCTCTTTCTCATCACGCGTTCACTATTATTACATGATGTGGTAGTAATAGCAGTAATAGCAGTGATAGTAGTAATAGTAGTAGCAGTTCTTAGTAATACATGCATGTACGGGAAGAATGCCATGACAAGAATGCTCATACAAGCTCATACAATACACCTTCCCTCCCTTCTTTCCCCTTTCCTCTCATTCTCTCTGCTGTGCATCACCTTTTCCCGTCCGCCCAGGCAGCATACATGTATGCGATACCATGAATGATTGATGTACACGCAACGCATACAAATGTGCATAGTATTACTCGTATATGTAGCATAGCAAGACTTAGTCGAAATGAATCTCACCTTCCACCTCGTAGGCCTGATCCCCATCGCTCCCCTCAACCTTTATGGCTCCCATCCGACATATGGCCACGGTTCGCACAGACAGCTCCTCGGCCCACACATAGTCTTTGTACCGGGCAATCAGGTCGCGTGCGTCAAGCTCCAGACGCTGCCTCGATTGTCGCCGCCGCTGCCCGTCATCCTGCTGCTGCTGCTGCTGCTTCTTGACATAGATGGTGTTCACCACCGTAGCATGCAGCAAGAGCGGCCTCCTGTCGTCTGCCATGACCCCGGCATCCAGGAAGCTCTGGCGTAGCAGCTCGCAGAACCGCCGCAGAACGCCTCCCCGATCCACGGGCGGCACGTACAGCACCGTTGTGGCTGATGCTCTGCGCATGGCTTCGAGACCGCGCATCGTCAGCGACAAGGGTGGCCGTTCCTCCCCCTCCTTGTCCCCTCCCTCTTGCTGTGCCGAAGCCTTGTCGAGGATATCTCGTAGACGCATACTCTGTAAGACGGTGATGGCGCGAGATATAGCTCCCGGTTCACGCAGGCTCATGACGCCGAGCGTCAGGTGGAGAGTCCCCGGTGGACGCACCGCCTGCTCAGGGATGACGGTGCTTCTCTTGCTGCTGGCGCCGACGCCGCTGACGTCGGCCTTGAACGATGACAAGCTCCGGCTCAGCTGGGGACCGGATAGTGGTATGCATAGGAAATGTGTGGGCGGTGGTGGTTTTGGTGGCATGATGGTTGTTATAGGTTGAGTTCGAGTGCTGCCGCTTCCATGTGGCGAGAACTTCGTCGTGTGGTGGCTGCAGGGTAAGATGAGTCGGCCAGGCTGGCCTATCAAAGGAACGCTTATACGTTGAAGACGAACAGACGAGCAAGATTCATACTATTTCGGGGATCACGTATAAGCATTTATATAAGCATATAGTACCCGTGTGGAGGATGTTTCCAATTGCGCCTTATCGGAGCCTCGACTTCTCCGTGGTGCCATCCTGATTATTCCTACAAGAGATAGATAGCTGTCGCTCATTGCGTACATACTGGCAAAGCTCATGGCGTTCTACCCGGGGCGAGCACATGTGAGCAGAGCCGAGGCTTTCGCGTGGCACTGATGTTCAATCTGATCATGTGTATCTTGTCGAGGAGAGCGAGAAGCGAAGCAGGTACCGTGACCACCAAGGTTACGGCATCCGCCTTGAGGAGTAGCTTGCGATTCTCCTCGGGGGTTACAAGGCGGCGGAGAACCATGTCCTCCGTCCTGTTCTAGGGAAGATGAACTGGAAGGCTCAACTTCCGCCATGCCGTCCTTCTTTGCCGGCATGTTAGGAATCCCCAGGAAACACTTTCCATTCCGGGTCTGAATTTGAGAAGATGAGGGGAAATGGTACCCGGCCGAGAGAAGAATGTTGTGGAGGAGAATGCAGTGTTTTGACCTCTCGTCAGATCATTGGCGGTAGACATCGCCACATCGACGGTGTCCCGAGCTTTTGATAACAGAGAGCTGGCTCCTTACACTGTAGGGTTCATGCTGGGAAGCTGTAGAATCAGCCAGCCAATTTTCTAGCACGCAACAGCATCCGCTCGTTCCGTTATGCAATATCCCGGCTCGAAACAGCATGCAAGGCGTCGAGGCATGGCGGTGCTTCGGTGTCGACCGAGCGGGATCCGCTCCAATGGTCCATGCCCTCGGCATCCAGCCATATTGCTTATCGACACCAGAAAGCCCCAGAGTAACGGTACTGTGAACCGAAGAAGCAGGACAGCGGCTGAATTCCATGGGTTCCCTATCCATACATGGATTCTAAGGACTTCTGGATAAGGATGTTCTCGTTTCGGTGGATGCCTATCTTGCTTTGAGTCGATATCTCGAATCGTAGTTGATAGCCCTCGTAATGTCCGGCACGGTCTTTGGGGCTTATTTCTTTTTTACTTGTCGAGTTTGCCTTTCGCTCGGAATGAGAGTCTCCTCGGATGACTTGATTACCACTCGCTGCCCTTGCACGGTGTTCAAGTTCTCGGCTTGTGGTGAGTCCATCCTGAACCCGTCAGAGTACAGGGCAGCAGGTTAAGCACTCTCTGTTTGCATATGGAGGGAAGATGTGGTGCGGATAACCCCTAGGCGACGGAGGTCGGGAGTCAGGGGCGAAATTGGTCAACACTGCTTGTCAGTTTGACACGCCGCGAAGAGCTTTCCTGTTCCCCCTTCGAGGTCAAGAAATCGGGGCTTTCTGATATATCTGCGGCGATTGGCAAGGACACGAAGGGAATTGCTGCCGAGGTTCGAGTGGCATATGCCGATCAGATGAGGGAAGGTGTGGCAAGGGCGATCGAACAGATGCCGACGACGACTGGGGGATTGATAGAATGTTTGTCGGAGAGGAAAGGAGAGGTAACTTGATCTTCGAAACCGTAAGACCGTCTCGGCAAGTAGATGAGATGACGAGGCATACAGATATCACTGGCTGACTTTGTGGTTCGAAACTGAGGTTCCAGTTAGCACGCATGGCGGAAATTACTGGATCGAAGGTCCTTTGACGTAGCATCTGCGCACATGGCTGAAAACCCCGGACAAGTGTAGGTATATGTTTGGTCTGCGCCAAACAGTTCGAGTCGAATCACTAGATAGCTGACACGGACCCTGGCTCCGGCTGATTGTATTCGACGGCCAAGGAGGCCCATGTGGAGGAGGGGTGCAGCGAGTAAGGGGAAGCTGTTGCAGTGTTCAGCTTCTGCGAGCCCCTTCCGTGAACCGGGTCACAAATTACACCCTCTTCTGTGCCTGACTATGAATATCAACCCACATATTAGGTACACACCCCGGCGAGATCCGAAAACCGTACGAGCAGGACTGGAAAAGGAGCTTCCGTCGGTGAGGAAAGGAGGGGCTGCACCTTGTGCCTGGATATGCATGGTATGCGGCAACCGTCTAGTTTCTCCGAGCCGCACAGCATGGAAGCCGGTAAAGAAGACCAGTTCTGATCCAGGGTTGAAGCGATTTCATGACTTGGACCAGTCTTGTCTTTACGATCCAGCAGTGTACATAGGAAGTATAATACGTGTGAGAGAGGAAATGTGCACACACACACACATATATATATATATGTATATGTTAAATATATATTGGTCTCTCTATGCAAAAGAAAAGAAACGACTAGAAGCCTTAAAACGCCAGACGATGGAATCTACAAAGCTGAAGCAGAAAATGCCAAGGGAAAAACAAGGGAACGTTTGTTTGTTTGTGTGCGCGAAATCACTGTCGCAAAGCCCACTGCTCCTCGCCGTACCGGATCGCCATGGGCCAGCCGAGCATCATGCTGATTCCAACCGCGTAACTGTACATGGCGGGAAAGGTCAGCAAGCCGATCCAGCCTAGAAGACCGGAAGAGAGTGATAGAGAAGGAGAGAGGAGGAAACATACGTCGGAATCTGGACGCTGACCCTGCGAAGCTGCTTGCCCCAATCGGCCTGGTGCTGTGCAGAGTACTGGTAGGTGCGGGTAGCCGACGAAGCCAGACGACGCTGGATCGTGCGAGAGGCCAGAGTCACGGCGGGCCTCATATTGTCTTGTTTCGTTACTTTGACGAGGAAAGGAGGAGTTGCCTTTGGAGTAGCGAGGTAGTAGATACACCGAGGATGTAGGGTGATGATCGTGAGCGTGGAGGCAGAACCGGAAGATTGGTAGTTGAGAAAACTGTTTGACGGATAGATGTCTTTGTCCTCTGTTTCTCTCTTTCAGGAGGGGAGGGGACACGAACAATACTTATACGACTTCCTCTCTCCTTCTCCATCCCATGGGATAGCATCATCCATCAATTCCCAGACAGTCGGGAACCAGGCCCAGATCCCTCAATATCCCGAGCCAAAGTCAGGCCACTCGACTCCTCGCGGTCTCCATTCTTGGTCATGCGGAGCGCACATAAGAGAGGGAGAGGTAGAGGACAAGGGGGGGAGTGTATATTGCAATAATACGAGTAAGCTGCTTTAAACACTGTCATTGTGGCCTGATGGCCGTCTCCAACAGAACACCCACCGATGGAGCAGAAATGGTTTATCACGCCACTCTTCCCATCCGGGGTATACACCGTGCGTGTGCACAGGCCGGAGCCACCCGCTTATACTTTGAAGGGGGGGAAAACGTGACGAATCAACAGCTTCTCATTATTACGCATTTCTTATTTGGGTCAGATTTTCCCACTTGTCTCATTCCAAAACTCCGTACGCATCTTTCATGTGTTCCTATGTGTGTTTTACTAGTAGAATGTAGCTTCTAACTCGTTTTCACCATGTACAGCCACAGGTACCCTCCCGACACCCATTGTATCTCTTCCCCCCAAGACCCGCCGTCGGGAACGCACCCGGAGGAGGCCCGCATCTAGTTCCCGGGCCTTGCCTCTTTCGTCTCCAATATCGGTAGGAGTGGCATCCAAGACCTTTTTTCTCTCTCGCGATTCCTTCCGTTCCCCTAGTCCAGGTCCCACAACCCGCAAAGATCTTTCCTTCTCGGTCTATGACCATTGTCCCCCCCCCCCCCCCCCCCCCCCCCCCCCCCCCCCCCCCCCCCCC